TTTTTCAGATGCGGATTTTTAGCAACAATTTTGAATCTGAAATTCAACAGTTTTCATTTTTTACTTTTAAACATCAAAAGTATCGTTTTTAAAACATTAATTCAATTAAATTGCATAAATAATTAATACCAGCGCCTTTTTTAAATTGGTGTTTGAAAAATATGGTAGTTTAGATGCACCGTATTTTCGAAAATTCATATCCTACTATATATAAAAAAATAGTGTCTGTGTGTGTGTGTATATTTGCATGCACTTCCGTTTGGATGTTCCGCACCTACAGGTTCAGGGAAGCATTTTTTCGGTAGGGAAGAAACGTCATAGGGTAAAGAAGGGGCTGGAATCGACTGCACACATAAAAGTTTTGAAAAATTTCTATTTTCGATATTAAAATTAGGTTTTTGTAAAGTTTTCTGTCAACCTCTTTGTTAGGAAGTAATTAGCATACGGCGGAAGTGGAAATGGTTTATAAAAGGAAGGGAGGGCGTGGTTTTCATTTTTGGTGATCGGTCTTCGGAAAGAATTATGCAAAGTCACTACTTTCATAGGTCCTAGACGGGGCCAGGGTTGAAAAGCCGCGAAGCGGTTTTTCAACCCTGGTTTTTAATTAACTTGTACCAAAATTATATTTTTAAATTATGGAAAAGAAAAAAATAAAGTCTTGTTTTATTCAAATTTTAAATTTACCGGGTTGTTCTGCTTGTATCCCTCCATTTGCTTGTCGCTCGGCTTTTGCGGCATGGCGGCGATTTCCTGAGATAGACTCCTTTGAAAGCAGAAGATACAGCAATAGTGCATCAATATCCACGAGAACCGGGTGTAAAAGAGAGTGTGGAGAAAGTAGCGTATCGTAGCGGAAAAACGGGTGAGGAAAATAATAGCCGGGAATCTGTGAATGCAAGGGGGGAACGGGGGGTGGTGTAGTATGAATAATGGGTGAGTGGGGGGAACACGTTTTTCTACTGACTAATCGTCAGAGTCAGCCCATCGTGAAATTTGCGTTTTAAGTTTTGTGTGGTTAAAACTTCTTATTTTTCCGATTTTACTCAAAGTTTTCGGTTTGAACCGTCTAGCTCTTCGTTTTTAGCTGTTTAACTTGTCGTTTTCGTCTAACCAGCAGCGGTTTTGTGATGATTTCGGAGTTTTGCGACAGGACATAGCCTAGGCCCAAGCCCTAAACCTAAGCCTAAGCCTAAGCCCACCCGATAGAGCTTGAAATTTCTTAGAAATCCTAGTTTTCAAAAACTGTTGGACAGCCACGATCTTGGAGAAAATTCGGTCTGAGAGGCCCGACTTTGCTCATTTTTGGCTCATGAATCACAAAATGTAAAATCTAACAATTTTTCTACAATAACATTATCGTCCAGCAGGCTTTAAAGACGGGGTTTCGTTCAGAATTTAAAGCGCTATCGAACGAGCTATGTCACATCGAATAGCTCTTAAGTTTACATTCCGTTTCTACCTTTCTTCTAAAGGGACGGTTTCGGCAGGTCCCGAAAAAATAAACAAAGAAAAATACAAATATGACAAAACCAATATTACAAGAGGTCGAATTTCACGAAAAAAAAAGCGAAAACGAGACGCACACTGAAAGGAAAAATTTGGAATGACCGATTCGTGATCGCAGAAAATCGGCGGGTTGCGGTGAGGTGTGGGCCCTGGGGGCGGACAAATATTTGAATTGTGGGTGAACCCGCAGAGATTAGCCGCCCAGCAATCCGCGAAATCGAAGAAGGGTAAGCGAGTGATTTGGCGATGGTTTGGCGAGAGGTGGGGGGTCAAAAACCGTATAAAAAGTGCCGAATTGACATTTTTGTCCTAAAAACCAATGAAAACCTTGATTTTGGCAGTGATTCCCACAATGCTGGATATTTCCCCAGGCTCCTCCTAAAAGACGATTTGCAAAATTTGTCCCCGTCCCTTTAAAGCTTTTTCTGAACCCGAAATATCTAATCTTTCAAAATTTCGAGAGGTTTAAGCCTAACAAAATTACAGTAGTAGCGTTGAGGTTGAAAGGAAAAATTTAGAATTATGCAAATCAGACCTCAAATAAGGGGAAGTGAAAGTGGTGACGACTCGTTTTTGCGGACTGATTGCTATTTAATCGAGAGCCGCGGCCCGGAGAGCCCCTTATCATACAGCCAACACAACCCATTTTCGGGCTCTCTCGTGCAAACTACAAGAACATGACCCCCGGAGAACGCTGGAAATGTGAGCCCTGGGTAAACAGAGCATTAATTGTAGCCAAGATCCGTAATTGTAATACTTTGGAGAGAGAGAGAGAGAGAGAGAGAGAGAGAGAGATGGAGAGAGGGAGTAGGAAGAACACTTTAAGCAGAATGTATTTATTAAAGTTATCATCCATTATTCAAGTGAGAAATCCGCGTTTTTAGTAGCTTTCCGGGATCTCCTTCCACCTCGAACCCACCCCGATCGAACGGAGCTGAACGGAATTTTCATTTTTGCTTAACTAATGTCGTCTTTACTAGGTCCAAACTATGCAAGTTTAAAAAGTTTCTATTACTTTTACAACTGCAGTATTTTTAAACGATTATAAACTAAAGAGTTTGACAGAAAACCGTTAGAATACTCTCAGAAATTCCCGGAATTTTTTATGCAAACCTCTGCCCGATTCAGCAACAGATCCACGTGGATGGCGCGTAGTACAGTATCCCGGCTGTCTGTCATCATTAGATTCAGACGTTCGGCCTGAAAAAAAATTTAGATGATACCTCTGGTGTTTTTCGAAAGTGTAAGCGGCATCAGCGACAGAAAGACATAAAAATATTCCGTGACCGACCGCTTGCATATCCCCTTTTTTTTGACTGTCAAGGCTTTGCTTCGCCGGCTTGCCATATCCTCAAGTCTGACCTGTAAAAATTAGATTTATTAAATATATGTATTTATGTACTAGAAAGTTGCTAAAGCTTAATTTTAGACTCTAAACACCAACAGACCTCATACTCCTCAAGCCGTTGAATCGCCCGCAAGCAAACGGTCGCCTCGACGTCTTTCCCTTCCTAAATGCCACTTTATTTCCTTTGCACTTTTAAATCGACCTGTTTCGAGACCTCAATCTTTTCCCTTAATGCTCGCTGCACGGTCCTGATCGTGGTCAGAGGATCGCCCGCCAAATTATCGCCACCGGTATTCATTCCATCGCCTTCACTAAATTAATAAAGCTATAATAAAATATAAATAAAATAATTGAAAAAATAGCAATCGCCAATAATACAATCATGGAAATCATCAAAATTGGTTAGGAAAACAACACTCATTAGTGGTAGGAAAGATATCAGTGCCATTAAAACACACTAGCTATACCGGTTGACCATATATTCCGGTGGCACGGTCGGCGTTCCAGCTGGTGTCGGCATTCTTGCCGGGGATGCTGTGGATAAACGGCTTGCTGATGGGGTTCTTTCTGAAATTGGGGCATACTCGGAATAACGTATTGTAGCGTAGCTATAACTCACCGCGTTGCATTCCCCTGCTCTTGCTCTTGCTGGGCGCCCTCCGCGGCCGATCCTTCTCAACAGGATACCCCAGAATTGTCACTTTTCGAATGCCCACCTAGGCGACAATGTGAACTCCTTGGAAACGTCGCCTAGCGAAAGGCTATAAAGTTTTTAGTGCTCGCTACCATGACGCGTGCTAGAAATTGCCAATTTTTAGGCTATCAAAAAGTGGACTTCCTCTCTTTTTTAAATTCCAATTTCAAATGATGCAATCCGATACTAGCAACGTTAAATTACCAATTTATTCGGGTTCTTGCTGATTGGCAACGGCTTGTAGACGACCAGCCAGACGAAGTGGCCAACGTGGTCGGCGAATAGGGTTCTGACATATTGGAATTTCGGAGTTTTTGGGTCCTTACCGCCCTTCCATACGACTATTCGAGCGTTCCCGAATCTAAAAACGTTCAAAACCTTGTCAGTAGATGATCACCTTAAAAACCAGCGAGCCCTTAGTGCCGTAATCTGCCGATTTTGCGCTTTCCACGTCGTTTCCGCAATCAGGTTCGCCTTTTCCGACACTGACCTCGATTTTGGAGGCTAAAAGGGAGTTTTTATGGTTTTAAAACTGAGCTGAAAGAATCTGTAGATAGAAAGGTATAAGCCGACTAAAACTCACGAATAAGCTCCGGATCGACATCAACGACCACTTTGTAGACATTGCAGAGATATTTTAAACCCAGGACAATATCGATCGGATAGAGTTCGCTAAATATATGATATCAACGGCACTTTCGCATTAACGGAGGTCCTAAAAACCTCGATAATGCGAATAACGCAAAATTTTAATAGGTTTGGAGTAAAATTTAGGTAGTTTCCGAGTAGAAAAATTATCTAAAAACGGAATTTTTGAGAAAAATGATTATTTTTGTCGAATTCGGCCATCTGTACTCGAAAATGCTATATTTTTGTATTTTTTTTAATAAAAATCTGTAACATTGTTTTCGTTTTGGAGATAGTAAAAACTGTGGAAAGAAATATCGCAAAAATCTCAGTTTATCGCGTAAAAAATTTTGTCACCCTCTTTCCACCTTCCCCTTGATAATGCTCTGGCTCCAAAGAAACTAATATAAGTCCTATGCCATACCCCGGCTCGCTGGTCCATTTCCGGTTGTTGAACACGTTCGGGTCACCCTGGCCGACAACGATCGGCACCCAGGGGAATTTCTTCCAGATTCCCCTCATCATCCGACATTTTTTAATACAGCAAAATACAAAGCACGATAAAAAATTTCTTGTAGTTGTCGTTTCGCAAATTCTAGGCCCGCGTCCTTTGTTCGTCGTCGGTTGCCGGGCACGGGTTACCATGCTCCACACCCAAATCACCAAGCACCAATTTATTCCTGGGACGTGAAAACAATTTGAAGTCCCAAAAAGGCAACAACGTGGCAAGGTGATAAACTTTATTTTCGAAACATAACGCAAAGCGCATTACGTAGAAATCTTTGATAACAAATTAACGGTTAACAATTCGCGGCGAGTGGCTCAGGGCTCCATCTTGCGTGGACGCTGAAAAAAAGATGTTTTGATGTCGAACGCCGAAATTTGATAATATCGAAATTCATAATGTCGAGTTTTCACAATGCCAAATTTCAGATTCGAAATTGCATAAATTCGTAGCTCAACACATCGAAATTCAGCTCCGTAATTTCAGAATATCTAAATTCATAATTATGCCAAAAACTACGAAAAAAGTTCAAAATTCTGAACTTCGACAATTTAAAAACTAGCCAAAAATGCTATAGGTTAAAGAAAAAGCCTATATACCTTATAAAGCTCCAACGGGCTTGACGCGGGCGCGGGAATCCGTTTGAGGCCGCGCACCGGCGCCGGTGAGATGGGGATGATGCTGCGAGAAGAAGTTGAGATCGAGCTGGCGTCGTCGCCGTGCCGGGAGCTGCCCTTGCGCGAGCCGGTGGAGACGTCCGATTTACGCGAGGCCATCACCTGAAAAACGGAAATAACGAGGCACAGCAAAGTAGTGGAATTCGTAGACAGAGCGTTGGTACCCACATTGCTGAACGTTTTTGGAGGCGATCCCTGCGCTCAATAGCCGTCCCTCGTGAGGGCAACATTCCAGTTGAAGATGAGGAGGAGGAGGTAGAAGGGAGGCAGTGGATGGCCGCCGATACCTAAGTTAAGATATTAATTATTACGGCCATTTTTATTAATTCAAAAATTAAATAAAACTCGAAATCAATTAAAAATAGCTTTTAAAAACCTAAAAAGGAAAAACTAGAAACCTTATTGAGCAGTGACGGCCCGGGAGCTTCATCCGTTTGATCGTTGGTGTTATTTGAAGATGTCGGTGCATCGGTAGGCGCATCTGCCGTAGCGCCATTCGCTCCTGCCAGAGCGCTGGACTCGCGCCACTTTCCCTCGTCCTCGTCTCGCCAAAGCGCCGTGTCCGCATCGTACGTCCTTTGCATCAGGTTGCGCATGAATTTCTGAAACGAAAAACTGAAGTCTAGGAAAAAGAAAACCTTGAACTTTGCCAATTCTGGGGATTCCAGAATTTCTCGGGAGAGGTCGACTTGGACACGGTTGAGCTTCTGAAAATCGAATTTTTAAAAAGTGCCCAAACTACTTTTGGCACTGAAGTCAGAGGTTTGGGGATCGGGAATTTTTGGCTGGCCTTTGCGAAGAGGTCAGCACGTTCAGCCTCGAAAAATAGAGGACAAAAAATATACAAAAATCTTCTTTGTTTATAAGAAAACTGAATTCATAACCACAACCAAAAAGTAGATACCTCGAGCTTGCCGAGTAGACTGAAAGTGGCATAGTTTGGCGCACGCAGCTCCTCTGGAGCATCAGCGTCACGCGGCAGCAGCTTAAAAATTAAAATATGGAAATTAAAAGAATAACAGTGGTAATACAAACAAAAAAGTCCAAATTCTGGAACTTAAAAGCTAAAAGAATTGAATAAAAAAAATCCGACATTGCTCATCGCCGCTGAAAATCCCGCGCGCATCGCCCGCTGTAAGTCCTCGCTCCCGGCGATCGCCTGGAAAATAGCAGCAATAATGATTGAAATATATACAAGCTACCTTATGGAAAAAATACTTGTCGGAGCGGCGGATGTACTGGGCAAGTGATTCATATAGCGCTGCACGCAGTTTGTCCTAAATATAGAAAATTTAACGCCTTTCCAAATCCAAGATACCGGATCATTTCCTGACTTTCGCGATGTTAATGTTCCTCTCAAGGGGCCTAGTTTCAATGGGGTACGAAAGACGCCTCGTGCGGCTGGTTACACTAAAAATATGGTTTTCAAAAAAAAAAATAATAATTCTTACCCTTCGGCCTTCCCGCGCAATTTCTGAGTCTTTCTGAAAAAAAATTATATATGACCAGCGCCCAAAAGCCCGCTACGCGAACGCCAGAGGCGCTGGATTTCAACATCTGCATGATAAATTTGACTTTCCGATAGCTGGGGTCCAGCGGACCCCGAACCATTCCACACGCGCGAGTGCAACTGGCAAGAATGCGGAAATTTGTATTTTCTCGCATTATGCAGTCAGCCCTCAGGGACCCCCAAAAATGAATAAAACCGGCCTTAGCATGAAACTTGTATTTTATCGAAATTCACGAGAACGCCATCGGAAACAGAAGGGTCAAATTCCCCAGGTGTCGGAGAATTAAGGCATTTCATCCCCGGGAAGGCCCTCAATCGGGCCTCGAAAGTGACATCCACACACACACACGCATACGCGACCAAATTATATAAGGCGG